CCCATATAGGGTGGATCATGAGGGAGTAGAATAACATGGACATTATCGTGGTTCAAACGTTCGCACAAGGAGAGTAACAAACCGGCTTCAGTGATTAAAGTGCAAAGCAAATGCAACAACTTTGTCGCACTGCAAATCTCTTGTTTCATTCATTCCGAGTTTCTTAATTTGTTCATTTATTCGATTTTCTTCTAGATTGCAGATCGTGCAAAAGGACATGGAGGAAGTCAAAAGTCTGCGAGGTTGCATTAAATTACAGGAAGACAAAACATTGAGCTGTTTGATAGGTAGATTGTTTTGGTTAACCCAATCAATCATCGATTCATGACCAAGCCAGTCTCCAAAAACGTACCGTCAGTGTAGAATCCCGAGTCCTTCAGGTATGGGCATTCGAAAATTTATCCTTTATGTCATGCAAATTGACAACGAAGGTTGACTCGTTTAACCTGAGAAAGGTGCTTAGCATGTTAATTATAAGACAACCAATCCAGTAGGAAATTGGCACGATCTGTTTTGCTCTCCGGTATTTGTACTTTCCGAACACACAATTCATAAACAGTAATTAAATCGACAAAAGCAGTTTGTTAGCTGCAATGTATTTCGAATGTTCATTATCCAACTTTTAGTTTGTCCGTTCGAAATGATAAATGACTCACTCTCGGCGGCATACAGAACCACGTTTGTGCTAGCGAAAAACAGATTGTTGCTTGCTTCTGGAATGTGGTAATAAGCCGAGCAATAAACTTCCATCATTATCGGTATGGGTTTCATGGGGAGGTTATTTGGGGAATTGAATTGTTCCGCAAATCGCGCGACCGCCGACACTTCCCACGATTCTCCAAAATGGATCAAACGAGTCTGAAATTGTGCTTTGCATATCCAAAAAGCAATACGTGTGTTAATAATGTTTACAGTTTACGGGATTCCCCTTTTGTTCTATGATGAATGAACACATCCATGGGAGACACGAACGAGCTGCGCTGCTTATGAACACCGATTTCGATGAACCGTCTAATACGCTTGCCAACCGGCAACAAATCGTGTACATAATATAAGATTTGAAGTTGCATTCATTTTCTTTTGTCTACTTTGATTGGTATCACTCTCATGATTTCCGTCTGTTTTCATACTGTTATCTGAGGTGTGCCGGCCTACTGAACGTTATCCGACAAAACATTTGAAAGCAGCAGAAGTCAGTTGTGGATACCTTTCAATATAGGGTAGGTTTTTGTGTTTCGCGATACGGATGAATAGAAGTTTTCTATCCGTCGAACTCTTTAAACTCAATGGTACAATATGAACATGATTCACCTAACAGCATATACCGGATTGACATCCGATGATGTCCGAGTGACACACAGATACCAAAACCCGGATGTTGCGTCAGAACACAAGGCTGGTAAATCTACGTATACGCAAATTAAGCATGTATATAGCCCCTCCTGTACACAGTCTAATCCTATGTCATTTTTCGACTCGTTCATACCTTTTATTGCCCCACTTTTAGATGTTAACCTGCACATAACCGTTGGTGACTTAAACCATATTAGCACTTATCCACTTTTATCATTGGGTATGACAGATCTCTGTCACTCTCCCACAAGAGGTAACGCTGTACTGGACAGAGTTATTACCAACCACCCAACCC